ACTCGAGGATGGTGGAGGTGAGTGATGATTGGGACTGGAGGGACTGGATGCCTCAGGGAGGCAGGGTTTCTCTGTGTAGCCCTGGCTGTCCCGGAACCAGGCTGGCCTCGAACTCAGAAATCCATCAGCGATGGCCAGGTGCACTGAACCTGCAGGAGTTTACACTCCCCACGCGTAGCCGGGGAGCGCTGGCGGCGCTGTAACGTCCTGGCTGCCGAGGAGAAAGTTGACTTTAGTTCCTGCTCTGCAGTGGCCTGGCTTCCTGCATCTTACGCATCCCTTCCTCGCCCTGAGCGAACCTCACCCGCAGCCACACCGCCCTGAGGTCATGCGGGGTGGAGAGGCGATCCCTCCTCCCCTTGAGCGCTGAGCTCAGCGCTGTGTGGTGGTGGCGTGGTGATGCCGAGGTAGGCCAGGTGATCCCCTGCAGCAGCTCCTTAGTTCAAATCGGTCAAGGATTCGAGTTTTGCTTTGGGTGTTGAAGCAGGCTGAGGTAATCCAGGGCGTTCTGCACCTTACTGGGTGTCAGCCAGACACTTGCCACAAGGGGATAGTAAGATAGAAGAGCAAGGTCAAAGAGTGCTGTTTTGATCACCAGGGTTCTGCGGTCCTGCCTGATGCTCTCCTCTGCGAGTTTCAGTTGGCATTCCCCAATCCCTGTTTCCATGGAGGCTGGTTTGTATTCAAGAGCCAGCCCTACTGGGTCCTTCTTGCCCCGAGCTGTCCTGGAGGACGATCCTCATTTCCAAGGCGGGAAGGAAACTGAGGGGCCAGGACCTATATGGAACAGGAGACGTGGGCAGGAGTTTGGACCCTAGTGTTAGGCTCAGGCAACCAGAGCCCTCCAGGGACTGGAAACCCTTCCTTAACTTTATGTCCTATGGCCCTTAAGTATCACAAACCATTGTCGAAGGCATTTTTCTCATCAGGTTCCCCGCTTTCCCCTGGTAGGAATGCATACTGCAAACCACAGGGTTAGAGGGAAATATCTGCTGTCATTCTGGGGCTTGGAATTTGTGGCCCTGGGGGTAGCTGTCCTTTGCTTTGCAAGATGCCTGCCACTGTTCCTAGCCATTGCCATAGGGCCAGATGCCGTCGAATGTTTCCTGGGGCACCCCGACCTCTACCTGGCTATTGTTGACAAACCCCGATGTGGACAAAGGCAGGGATTTCTGAACTGGATGTACCATCCAACACCTGTAATTCTAAAGAAGGAAGCTCACATGTCTGAGACCAATATGTGCTATAGAAAGTCTCTGGCTAGTCTGAGCCATAGAGCCACTTCCTCTCAAAGGAAAAGGAAAATAAATAAATAAATAAATAAAGCAATGAAATGACTAGAAATGATGACCATAGCAACAACAACAAAACAAACAAAAAGAAAAAACAAAGACTTTTGGTCAGTCTCTTAACCTGAGGATAATGATAGTGATCAAATTAAATTGGCTTGGTAGGGCATGGTGACAGAGGCTTGTGATCCCAGCACTGGGGAGGTTTAGATATGAAGAGGAGAAGCTCAAGCTACACACCAAGTTTGAGGCCAGCCTGGATCACCTGAGACCCTGTCTCAAAATAGAATCAAATTAATAAAAAAAAAAAGTGTGGCCTTATTCCTATTCTCTTGGCATCAGTAGTTCTTATTTTAACTCATCACTTAGTGCTGTAATTATTTTTTGTATGTTTTAGTATGAGGGGATGTGTTACTTTAGAGTTAGAATTGTATACTTAAGCCCAGAATAGAACCTGGCACAGCTCTGAAAAATACTTAAACACAGCTGAGCATGGCAGCACATACCTTTAATCCAGCACTCAGGAGCTAGAGACAGGCAGTTATCTGTGAGTCCCAGGCCAGCCAGAGCTACATAGTGAGACACTGTTTCAAAACAACAAAAACTCTAGTCGCAAATTAATGGCTGAAAAAGAAAAACAGACTGGGGCTTAGAGCCTAGGGGTCTGGCCCAGCATGTCATTAAGCAATTTACCTTAGATACTTTTCTCACTTTTAAAAGAAGGGGCTAGCCAAGTGCCTGAGCTTGCCTGTAATCCTAGCACTCAGGAGATGAAGGAAGAGAGGATTGCCCAAGTTCAAGGCCAACTTGGATTGTATAGTGAATTCTAGGCCAGCCAGAGCTACGTAATGAAATCCTATCTCAAAAAATATATCAAAAATAAATAACTAAAAAGTAAAAAACGAGGCTACATCATCTCCATGAACACATTGGTGTATGTTTCCAAAATTTGTAATTTCGAGTCAAGGGTCCTGTTGAGAAAATGCAGACAGATATCCTGGGGACATGGGTGCTGAGTCAGAAATAAGTGATCTGCCCAATAACCTGGTCCCTTTGTAGATCCACAAAGCTGAAACCACATGGTGTAATCTCATAGTTAGGGAAGCTGAGGCAGGACAATCACGAATTGAAGGTCATTCCTGGCTCCGTAGCAAGATCCTGTCACAAAAAAAAATCAAAGTAGAGAGATGTTAAATACAGATGGGAACAAGGCCGACCACAAAGAAATGTTCCATAAAGATTGATGCGTCTCTACATGGCATATCTGATGTTGACCAGATGCTGCAGTGCCAGATGTTGCCAAATTGTTTCCTGAAAGAAACACGTCTCACGCCATGCCTACATCATTTTATTTTGATTGGTGTGGCTATTTGGTGGCTATTTGGGGGTGTGCTTTTTTTGAAACAGGCTCTTACCCTAAAGTCTAGGCCAGCTTGGAGCTCACTGAATAGCCCAGGCTGGCCTTGAACTGATAACAGTCCCGCCCCAGCCTCCTGACTGTTAGGATTGCAGATGTGTGCCACCTGGCTCCCCTGGCCATTGTCAAAAAATCTCACTTCAGACAAATCCAGAGACCTCAGAGCCAGATGTGGGTGAGCACCCCTGTAATCCAACAATGAAAAGAATCGGGCACTTTGTGAACCAATGGTGGGACCCCTGACTCCAGCAGGCCTGACAGTGAGCCTCCGTTTACTTCCACCATAAAATGGGCTCAAGAATCCATTCTGTGAACTGGAGTGTTGAGTAAGAGACCTTTGGACTTAAAGATAGAATCATTCAATCATTCCCAAGTGCAGGGTGAGAACTAGACAGTTCTCACACAGCTCTCCCTCCTGTCCCGTTGAGATACAAACGCCACCCAGACACCCACTGAAGCTGGCCTCTCCTGTGTGTTTTATTCTCACGTAGGGAGGCAGAAACAGAGAGTGGGCCCAGTGACTAACCCAGGCCGAGTATGTAGAGAGCCCCGCTGGCACCTCCTCACCCTAACACCCTAGCAAGGTGTGAGAAAGTTAAGAGGAGACATGGTGGGGGAGGGGGCTAGAATAAAGCAAAAGAGAAAGGAAGACAGCACTTCTGGGCTCCGAGGCCTTGAGGGTGCCTCCATGGCCCGGGCTCCAGAAGTTCACCCAGCAGCCCAGATCTTGTCACCGTGGTGGATCCTGTCGCCACCGTGGTAGGAAGCACTTTGAAGAGGAGGGCTGACAGAGAAGAACTGAGTACAGAGGGAGGGCCTTGGGAGCCCTGACAAACCTGCAGTGTCATGTACCTGGCAGGGTGCCCACACTCCTCATCCGATGTCACAGGCAGGCCCAGATGGCAGGGAGGGGAGGGGTTTGGAAGGTCTCCGGTGTCCGGTGGGCAGCCTGGAGATGCAGGTGTTTTCCTAGAGGTGGCCCTTCTGTGCCTGGGGCCTGACTGTCTGACTAGTTAAGGAAGGAACTACATAGGGCCATTGTAATACCAAACCTCGGGCTTGTCTTAGCAGCCTCCAACTGCAGCTGCCCACCTCCCTGGGCCTTCTTGTCCCTCCAAACACCTCTCTCTCTCTGTGGGGAACAAAGAAGAGCTGGTTAAGGGAGAGAAGGCCGCACAGGGATGGGGGGTGGGGGTCTGAGTCTCAGCTGCCTGATCTCAGTTGGTTTCCCTCCAAGTACTCTTTCAAGGGTCAAAAGCAGGCCTAGGGGTGTGGCTCAGTTGGTAGAGTTCTTGCCTAGTATGTACAAAACCCTAGATTTCATCCCCAGCACTGCATAAAAGAGCAGATGTGAAGCTGGGTGGTGGTGGTGCACGCCTTTGATCCCAGCACTCGGGAGGCAGAGGCAGGCAGATCTGTGACTTCGAGACCAGCCTGGTCTACAAAAGCTAGTTCCAGGACAGCCTCCAAAGCCACAAAGAAACCCTGCCTCGAATAACAAAAAAAAAAAAAAAAAAAAAAAAAAAAAAAAAAAAAAAGACAGATGTGGTCCCAGGACTCTAGAAGCCAAGGCAGGAGGCTCAAAAATTCAAGGTCATTTTCTTACTACATATTGAGTCCAAGGTCTGTCTAGACTACGTGAGACCCTCTCTCCAAACAGTAATAACAACAGTGATCATTATTGAAGTGATCAAAAAGGACAAGAGAAAGGAGGATGTGTCCTAGAGCGTAGAGTCTAGTTCATTCAGCACTATAGAGCAGCAGGCAGTACCCCTGAGGTCCAGCCCTCGTCTGGAGTTAGCAAGGCACTAAAGTTCAGAAGGCAGACCCCGGCCTGACCCGATGCCTCAGATGCCATGCTCCAGCCTTGGCTGGGTAAAGAGCCAGTCAGTTACTTCACCTCTCTGATCATTGGTGCCTCATCTCTGAACCAAGGATGATGTTAGGATCTGCCCAAAGGGTAGTTGTGGGGATTCAGAGACCCAGTCCATGTAGCTGTGCAGCAAGCCTAGAAGCATAGCTGTGGGTCCTTGGAATCTCACACCAGCAAGAGCAGAGCAGTCAACCTAAGTGGGCCCTGAGCGGCACACCATGAGGCCTGGCGTTACTGGGAACAGAGCACTTTGCCAGCGGCGCCCTTGTGATGTTGAGGAGATCTGAGGTCCCCACTGGGTGTAGGGGTAGAACAGTTTGTACTAATCGGGAGGAGAGTGGAGAGGAGAAACCCAGTCCTGCACCTCTCTACCCATGGCCCCACGACTATGTCTCTTTCTAGACCTTCTGCAAGGCCAAAGCAACCGAGTGTACAGTCAGGCTCTGTGCGCATGGGCCGGGTCTCAGAAGCTGGGCTTCAAGGAGGGGCAACAGTGACCTACACCTGAGACCAGGTTCTGGTATGGGACACCCCTGAGGCACAGGGGTGGTGGAGACAGGTCAGTGGGCAGGTTTGGCCCTTTGGTGGGGGAAGAGGATCAGAATATTGAGCCCATCTAGAAGCACTTCAGTTAGTGCTGCCTGGCCAAGCCAGGGAATGAGTGAGTGTGTGTGTGTGTGTGTGGTGTGTGTGTGTGTGTGTGTGTGTGTGTGTGTGTGTGTGTGTGTGTGTAAGAAGAGAGAGAGAGAGAAAGTGTGTGTGTGTGTGAGAGAGAGAGAGTTTGTGTGTGTGTGTGTAAGAGAGAGGGGGGGAGGCAGGTGGGATCGAGGGAGGGACAGAGGGAGGGAGAGCAAGCATGCCACAGAGGCAGAGACAGAAAGAGAAAGGTTTGACAGTATCTACCGAGAGAATGGAGCTATGCATATTTTGTGCTATTGAGAGCTATATAGGAACTTAGCAGATAAGAGAGGCGGTCTTGTTAAGAAAGGACAGGTGATTTGTTTTCTGTTTATTGATTATTTATTGTTGAGACAGGGTCTCACTCACTGTGTAGTCCAGGCTAGCCCTGAGCCCTTGGTCCTCTTACTCCAGTGCTGGGATTACAGGTGTACACGACCACACCTGGCTATAGACAGATGCTCTTTAAAGTTATTTTATTTTTAGTTCTCTCTGTGTGGGTGTGTGCACATGATGCAGATGCTCTTGAAGGCAGATAGGTCCTCTGGAGCTGGAGTCACTGGTGGTTATGAGCTGCCTTCCACGAGTGCTGGGAACCGAACTCAGTCACCTCTTCAGCCCCCGAACAGATAGATAGTCTTACACAAGTCAGAGCCCCCGAGCATGTGAGTACATCTGCTGTGAGGGTCTGTATCTGCAGCATCAGTGCGAGAGCCTACGCAGACTCAGTTAAGATGTAAAGGGCCAGGCAGTGTTACCACACCTTCAACCTCAGCACTCAGGAGGCAGAAGCAGGATCTCTGAGTTTGAGGCCAGCCTGGTCTACAAAGTGAGTTCCAAGACAGCCAGGGCTACACAGAGAAACCATGTTGAACATGCACCCCCCCCCAAAAAAAATAAAGATGTGCTAGAGAGTGCACACAGCCTATCTTCCCTCTTCCCTGGGAGCCATTGTCACTACCTCTGGGTTATCAGTACAACATAGTCTAGTCAGCAGCCTTCTCAGATGGACCCTGCTGTTTCTCCGCTTCACAAAGGGCAGAGTCAATAGCTGTCCCAGAACAAAGCTGGTAAGTGTGCAAGCTGGGATGTGAACCCAGGTCAGGTCATGTGGCTCCAGCCATGTGCAACTCGGAGAGAAGATGGTGAACGCGGAAGCACCTTGTGAATGAGAAGGGTATTTGTAGGAGTCATTGCCGAGAGACAGAGAGAGAGAGAGAGAGAGAGAGAGAGAGAGAGAGAGAGCATGTGTGTGGGGAGGAGGGCGGGGTCATGCATGAGTCCTGGTGTCCTGGTGTGGTTATTGCGACCTCTGAGATCTTCCTGGAGCTCCTTGCCCTCTAGAGCGCTAACATAAGGAAGGTCGTGCTCACCTTTCAGGGTGGCTGGTCCATTTATTTACTCAGCAGTGACTTACGGACATCAGGCCCTGTGAGGAGCTGGGGATATAAGGAACAAAGAAGGCAACTGCAGAAGATGCTCTTGGTTGGAACCTGTGGTCAGAATGAATGACAGCCACAGTCATTTAGAGTTTAGCCCAGGCATGGGAACTCAGGTGCCCTGGAGGTTGGCTGCAGGTCAGGCTGCAGGTCAGGACTCTCCGTACTCAACTTATGTACTTACCAACCTTACTTCCAGGTGTCAGTGTCCAGGAGTCTGAGGGTTTTTTCAATTTTCTTTCATCACTATTACTGTCATCATTATTTTATGTGTGTGGGTGTTTTATCTATGCACTATATGTGTACCAGAAGAGGCCACCTAATCTCCAGAAACTGGAGTTACAGACAGTTGTCAGCTGCCATGTTGGTGCTGGTTATTGAACCTGGGTCCCCTGGAAGAGCAGCCAGTGCTCTTAGGTACTGAGCCATCTCTCTAGCCCTAGCGTGGGTTTTTGGCTTTTGTTTGTTTGTTTGCTTTTTTAAACTAATGGAGAGTCTATTCAGAGCTGTCCATAGCTAGCCTGAACTCTGCCACTGCCTGATGGAATGGGATAGACACCCCAGTTCTTTCTTTCCCCTGTGAGGGTAACAGAAGTGCAGGCACCACTCCAGGTCCCAAAGATGCCAACTAGTATTGAGTTCCTGCTGCCCAGTGTGGTTCCACTCAGTGAGATTGTTAGCTGCCTCCCTTCGCCAGTCTCCCTCTTCTAGCCCATGCTGTGTCCTGGGGTCACCTTCCAGGAACCACCTGCATTGTGCTGTTCTTAGGGTAGGCAAATGAGGAACCTCCATTGAGGACTTCTCTGTCCCTCTCCAACCCCCACAACAGTTCCCAAGAGAGCAAGAGGCTCCTGGAGTATACCAATGAGGAAGGGCAACTTGAGGCCGGGGCAGCTAGCACCAAAGGCCAGGGCTTTCTCTGGCTTTCTTGTCCCTGGGAGCTGGGCGGAGATGATAGGAAAGGTTGAGAAGCAATGTTCTGCCTGCCTTCAGGATAGCAGGGTCTGGGCCAGGCTCTCTGCCACCATTGTTCCCGTGCTGTAGATGAGGATGCAAAGGCCAGAGTTCAGATCAGGTGGTTGCTACTGATGGAGGAGGATTTTTTTCTTCCCCCAGTGGTGGTATCTTCTGGCTTGGGGAATTCTTTCTGCATGGCAGCTATTTCTGGCCTCTGGCCACTAGGTGCCACTAGAAATCCCAGGCCATTAGAACAGTCACTCACGTTTCCGGACTTTGCCGGTACTTCCCAGATGAAAACCACCTCACCACCTCCTACTTTAAGACAAGGGCATTCCAAACCAGTCACCAAAAGCCACCTACGACTGCCTGTCTGTGACTGAGGCTGCAGCAGAGTGGAGCCTCTAAGCAAAAAGTCAAGACAGTAAGAGTTATGAAGGTTTGCCACAGTAAGGTAGTACCAGGGATGCTCAGGTCTCCAGGTGCATCAGCAGAGGGGTCCCCCGCCCTCTGTGCACCATCCGCCTGTGCCACAATGCTTTGACCCAGCAAGAGGATGCTCCCCAAAGCTGACAAGGCAGAGGGCTGACCTGACCTGAGGTGTTTGGTGTAGGAGCCTTGGAGGCAGACATCTCTGGGGCCTCTTAAAGGGACATCCAAGCAGAAGAGACAGAGTTTGAATCTCTGTTTTCAACTTTGCAAGAAGAGAAGGAAATGAGAGAGACAGAAAAAAAAATCTAGACCGATTAAACAGCTAGATTGAGAAAGGGATAGACTCAATATTTTCAACCTGTAATCACATAGCATGATGGCAAAATGTGAACTCTGGCCCCAGAGTGCCTGATTCAAATCCTGGCTCCACCACTAAACATCTTTGTGACTTCAGGAAGATTATTTGCCCTCTCTGTACCTTCATAGCTATTGTCTATAGAGATGGAATGGGAGCTAGTACCTTCCTGTAGATATTATTGGGAATATGCAATGAACAACAGAGTTTTTAGAAGACTAGGGATGTGGCTCAGGTAGTAAACTGCTCAGCTAGCATATGTGAAGCCATGGGATGGATCTCTGACACCACATAAAAACAAGTATGGAAGCACACATGTAAGGTAGAAGCAGGAAGGCCAGTTGTTCAAGGCCAGCCTCAGCTACATGAGACCCTGTCTCAGAAATAAATAAAGAAATGAATAAATATATGTGTTAGAATAATGCTTGGGGGGTGGGGGTGTTAGTTGGTAAAGTGCTTTATAGGGCCAGGTGTGTGGTGTACACCTTTAAACCCAGCACTCAGGAGGCAGAGGCAGGCAAAAACTCATGCATATAAAATAAAATTTTAAAAATATTTTTAAAGGCAGATGGCATCTGAAGAATGACAGCCAAAGCTGTACGCCAGCCTCCACAGGCATGCACACATGTGCATCTGCACACACACACACACACACACACACACACACACACACACACAGTAAAAAAAAGGGGGGGGCTGGGGCAGTGGTGGCACACACCTTTGATCCCAGCACTGGGGAGGCAGAGACCGGCAAATCTCTGCAAGTTCCAGCCCAGCCTGGTCTACAGAGTGAGTGCCAGGACAACCAGGGCTACACAGAGAAACCCTGTCTCAAAAAGAAAACAAAAACAAAAACAAAAGAAAAACAACAATAACAAAAACAAAACAAAAAAGGCTTGAAAAATGACCACTTTGTAAACATAGTCCATTTTTTGCCTAGTTGTACCTCAACCTATTCACTAGGGCCCTTAAAACTTTCCAAACATACTACAGGTGCTCTCTGTCACAGGTGAGGGTATGGTACAGCCAGGCTAAGGGCTCCTGCCTCTTTTGCCCAGTCCCTTCCAGGCCACATGGGATAGACTCTGACCTTGGTCATTCTACCTCCCTTCTCTCCCCAGGCTACACCTGCCCCAGATCCCGGCTCTCCCCAGGATAAGGAGGTAACACCAGGCTTTGCTGGAGACCATCTTCAGACAAAGCCATGTCAACCCAGGTGTCAGACCCTCCCTGAGCCAGCAGCTCTGACTCTCGGTACAGCCACCCCACCTAGGACCCTGGAACGCACACCCCTGCTGCTGGAGCTGCAGAAGCTGCCAGGATTGGTCAACACAGACTTGAGTGCCCCGAACCCCAATATCCAGGTGAGACCATAGGGGAGTTGTTTGTCTAGGGGACCTCTGGAGAGTGCTAGGCTGGCAACTGAGTCTCTCCTTACCCTCTGCTGGACTCCTCATGCAAGTGTGAGATGAGTATCTGCCCCTCTCCTTGCCAGAAAGTTTCTTGGCTCCTAAACCTTGACCCTGGATGTGGCAGGGGACAAATCCAGCAACCTGGTAGGGCTATCTTGAGGACTGAGTACTGGGACACCCTGTCCCTGATACTGCCAAGGATCCTGGAATGTTTGGTCCCCAAGTCTTTCTGCATGTAGGTTCAGAATTGGGGGTGGGTGTGCTGGAGCATGGGAAAGCTCTCAGAAGGGTGTTCCAGGAAAGCCAGGCAGAAGTCCAGCAGTGTCTTCTACTGCCCATCCTGAATCTTCAAGAATAGCAGATTTGTCTGCTTGTGTAGCAGAATACTTTGACCAAAAGAAACACTGTAAAAGGGCAGGATGTTCTACAATTGTTTTAAAGTCTGTCTGTCTACCTGTATTAAAATAAGACACACATATCTACACACAAAAACCACAAGTGTCCCTCTTAGTGAAGTAATGCAGGTGATGCTTTTTTTGTTTTGTTTTGTTTTGGTTTGGTTTTTGGTTTTTTCAAGACACAGTGTCTCTATGTAGCCCTGGCTGTCCTGGAACTCACCCTGTGCTTCCCCGAGTGCTGGGATTAAAGGAGTGCACTTCCACATCTGGCTCACTTTCTTCTTTTTTTTGTGTGGGGGGGTTCGAGACAGGGTTTCTCTGTGTAGCTTTGGAGCCTATCCTGGCACTCGCTCTGGAGACCAGGCTGGCCTCAAACTCAGAGATCCACTTGCTTCTGCCTCCCGAGTGCTGGGATTAAAGGCCTGAGCCACCAACGCCCGGCCTCACTTTCTTCTTTGTATTTTACTATTTTCCCCAAATTTTGTTCTGTGACCTCCTATTATTTGAAAGCACCTGCGAATAATGTTTTCCTGGTCCCTGAGGCCAAGCAGCTCATATGTGGTAGAGGCAGAATTCCAAACAGCTTCTCCTAAGCTATTAGGCCTGACACCTGCTGGATTTGCCCCCCATGCATCTACATCCAGGTGACTCTGACACACAGGAGGTCCTACCCAATGCCCTTTGTTCCCTGAGAGGCCAAGGTCAGTCAGGGAAGACAGCAGGCTCAGTGGCAAAGATGGGCCTTCTTGGCTTCTGGCTCAAACCTATTTCCTCTTTGGAGTCCCATGCTGAGCCTGTCTGTCTGGCACATGTCTGTCCTTCCCACAGGTGACCATCGAGGTGGTGCAGGACCCCCAGGCTGAGGCAGAGATGGACTTGCCTTCTGAACCCAGAAGTCTCTGGCCCCTGCATGCCCCCAGCTGGTTGCCCACCAGGGAGTTCTTCTGGCCCCTCTTCTGGGGCTACCAGGAAGGTGAAGAAGGAGGCGCCAGCCTCAAAGACACAGTCCCAGGGGAAGTGCAGGAGGAGGAAGAAAAGGGTTATGCTGCAGAGTACGGTGATGGTGAGGACCAAGAGGGCAGTGAAGAGGACAAGGATGAGGAGCCATGGTCCAGTGGGGCCACAGACAATTGGGACTATGGATGGTTGGGTCCTCAGGAGCCAGACAGCTATGGTGAGTGGCCTGGCTTGGCATCCTCAGCGGCTGCCCTGTTAGGTTCAGAGTGGGAATGAGTTGGAGGGGGAGGAACGAGCTTCCCAGGCCAGGAAAACTGGGCAGGCCAGCAGCCTAGGCCTATGCAGGTGCTATTGACAGCTCCAAAGGGACACGGTCAGGATTAATTTCTTCCCTCCAACACATGACTTGCACAACAGCTCTGAGCTCCCCTAAGCAAAAGCTACTGAATAGCATAAATATTTTGAGATTGTGAGTCTGACTACTGATCCTGCAGCTTAGCCACTGAGTGTCCCCAGGCAAGTCACATAACCTCTCTGTGTCTCAGCTCTGTCATCTCTGAAACAGTAATCATGTGTCCAAATGACACAGGGTTGGTCATAATGGTAAATGAACAAGCTTATGTACAGCCAGGTATGGTAGAACACCACCCCAGCCTCAGCACTCAGGAGCCTAAGACAGGAGGCTGAGAGTTAGAGGCCAGCCTGGGCTAAGTAGTGAGTTCCAGGCCTGCCTGAGGTACCTTGAGATCTTGTCTTCAAATATAAAACAGCCCAGGCTGTCGATAGCTCAAAGGGTGAAGAACTTGTAATGCAAGGATACGGATCAGAGTTCAACTCTTATGGAAAAAAGTCAGGCGTGTGCCTTTAATCCCAGCACTTGGGAGGCAGAGGTGGGTGAATCTTTGTGAATTCGAGGCCAGCCTGGTCTACAGAGTGAGTTCCAGAACAGCCAGGCTGTTACACAGAGAAACCCTGTACAGAAAACAAAAAAACAAAACAAAACACAAAGCCAGTTGAGTGGCAGCCCACCTGTATTGGCAGCATGTTAGAGGTAGAGTCAGGCAATCCCTGAGTTAGCTGAGTGGCCATCTCTGGGTTTCAGCAAGGGGCCCCTGTGTCAACAGTAAGGTAGAAAGTTATTTTAAAAAAGAGAGAGAGAGAGACACTCTGCTGGGTGATAGTAGCACATACTTTTAATCCCAACACCCAGGAGGCAGAGATAGGCAGATCTCTGTGAGCTGTGGAGGCCAGTATGTTCTACTGAGCGAGTTCCAGGATAGCCTCCAAAGCTACAGAGAAATTCTGTCTCAAAAACAAACAAGATACCCCATGTCAACCTTGGGACTACCCACACAAGCACACACATACTCCCCAAAGCATATGTACGTCCACATATATGAGCACGCAAGTACTCAAGCCATGCTAACAATGTGTCCATGAAGTGTCAGCCTGTGATAAAGGACTTGCTGGCTCTCTTTATACCTCTCCCTGGGACGGCCATTTGTACTTTTTATGTTGTACTTGCCATGGCCTCTGGGTACACAGTCTCACTCTCTCTGCTGGAAGCCCCGAGGTCTTGTTATTGGACTGCTGAGGTGCCGTCGGATTAAGACTAAATCAGACAAGCTCTTCCCAATTTCCTAAACTGATGTAAACAGACCTTCCAGGAGCCTCAGCTTTTCTCCCATTCATCGTCCTCCAACTCTTGGTGCCAGCTGGCCTAAGGCCTGCCTTGGAAGCTAGGGAGAACAGTGTGCCAGACCTGTGGAGCTCTATACTGAGACTCAGAGACAGGCCTGGGCCTGGGGGTTTGAACTCTCTCAGGTAAAGAAAGGGAATCAGGAGAATCTTTAATAACCCCAGACCTAGGAAAGAAGTTTTGCCATCCTTGATTTCCGACTCCTCCTCATTGTTATTATTGGAGACAGAGTAGCCTGAGGCCCAGACTGGCTTCAGACTTAATAGTCAGGGGTGATTTTGAGTTTCTTGTCTTTCTTCTCTTGTCCCTGCTGCTGAGATGGCAGTCAGTCACCACCACACCTGGTGCTGGGGATGGAGCTCAGGGCTCTATGCATGCTACACAGGCACTATCGACCACTCTTCCTTGATTTTGATGGACATGAAAAAACAAAACAAAATAAACCCCTAGCTCAGAAATGTAAGGGACTTGCTTAAGGTCACATTGATAGTGGGCCCAGTGGCTTCTAGTCCCAAATATCCCTGTGTTGACACAGTGGGTGGTTAGAGTGTGTTCTGCACTTCTTGGTACCTTTGCACAGCTGTTCACTGCACAAGGACATCTAGCTGAGGAGATGTGATGGGGGGGGGTGGTAGCTGGAAGCCAGTTATGTTCCATTTGTTGGCTGGGGATAAACTAGTGCCTTTTGCTAATTTGCACCAGTGTGCCCTGAGGGCTGAGTATACTCATCCAGGTCCTTTGCTTCAACCCAGACTATGAGCCTCAGGAGGAGTGGAGCACCTGGTCTCCCTGCAGTGGGAGCTGCAGCAGCGGCAATCAGCAGAGATCTCGGCCCTGTGGCTATGCCTGTACTGCCTCAGAGTCCCGGGTCTGCGACCTGCCCCCCTGTCCTGGTGAGATGAGCTCCAGCCCCTGCCTGAGAGTGGCTAATCTGGCTCAAAAGGGGATGTTTGGGGGGGGGCTTCAGAGCGGGGTATTGGAAGCTCACAAATATGGTGGTCCTGTCCCAGATGCTGTGGGCCCCCAGAGCCTAGTGAGGGCTGGGCTTCCCTATCGGGAGCGCAGAGGTGCCCTGGGGCGCCACCAGCCTGGCCTCCTCTCTTCCCAAAGGCACCGAAGAGGAGAACACCCTGGGCTTTCCCAGTGAGGGGTGGCAGCCCCTAGCCTACAATGCTACGGATATGCTTGATCCAGGTTAGTGGGGGGAAGGGGGCTAGATCTTGCTGCTGGGTCTTGGGGAGCCTCTCTCTTGGGAGGACAGGGCATCATTGTGTATCAGGAGTCGTTGAGCACATCTTCCTACGGGACAGATTGAGTCAATTATTCTTGCCTAGCTCCGGGTTCCTACCAGGAGGGGTGGTTCAATGGGAACCCCTGAGCTAGGAGATGCTGGGGGTAAGGGGAAGAGGGAGCTTCTACTTCTACTCCTTGGTTATTTTTTGGAGGCCCCTGGCAGACTCTGTTTAGGGAGTACCTGTTGAATGAGGCAGGGTTCCAACACCCAGGGCTGCTCCATGAGGACAGCAGTACACAGGCAGTGCTTTGGCAGCACACTCCCTGTTAGAGTTCCTGGGCCTCACCTGCACCCCCAAAGGCATGGCTCATGAGTTTAAATTCTACAAAGTGAAATGGAAGTTTCCTGAACCTGTGTTGTGTACCTGGGCCTACAGTAAGGCTGAGCATCCCTAGAGGAGGTCCAGCATCTGTCCTCAAAGAGGTGGGGTCTCGTGGGGGACACATGGCTTGCAAGAGCACAGTACTACAAAGTGCAGTGTGAAGACCTGAGAGCCAAAAGGAAAGGGTCGCTTTTTCTGAGTGGCCAGACTCTGAGGCTACATTTTGCCAGGGAAAGAGGGGAGAAGGCAGCAGACACAGGGAGCCACAGAAGCTCAGAACACTTGAGCATGTCATCAAGGGCCCATGCCCTAAGAAAGGCAGCTAAAAATCAACAAGCTGGGAGGCAGCAACACATATCTTTAATCCCAGCACTCGGGAGGCAGAGGCTGGAGGATTTCTGAGTTTAAGGCCAGCCTAGTCTATAGAGCAAGTTCTAGAGTAGCCAAGGCTACAAAGGAAAACCATCACCAACAACAACCAAACAAATAGAAGGAGGAGGAAGAAGAAAAGAATTATTAATCAGTGAATGGAAACAACTGGATTAGTTCAAGGCTAGCCTTGGCTACATGAGACCTTGTTTCAGGAAGGAAGGAAAGAAGGAAGGGAGGGAGGGAGAGAGGGAGGAAGGGAGGGAGGGAGGAAGGAGAAGAGAGAAGAGGAAAGAGAAGAGGGGAGGGGAGGAGAGTAAATAAGAACATTGAAAAAAATTTTTCTTAAACTGTTGTCCTCCAGCCTGGTCTACAAGAGACAGTTCCAGGACAACCTCCAAAACCACAGAGAAACCCTGTCTTGAATCCCGCCCCCCCCCAAAAAAAAAACCCAAAACAAAACAAAAAACTATTATCCTGCCAAGCAGTGGTAGTCCACACTTTTATTCCCAGCACTTGGGAGTCAGAGACAAGTGGATCTCTCTGAGTTCGAGGCCAGCCTGGTCTACAGAGTGAGTTCTAGAACAGCTCTAGGGCTGTTACACAGAGAAAGCCTGTTTCAAACAAAACCGTGTTGTCTTTTTGAGCTGGAGAGATGGCTCATCTGTTAAGAGCACCAGCTGCTCTTCCAGAGGACCAAAGCTCAATTTCCACGGGGGTGGGTAGGGGGGCTTCAATCTAAGAGGATCTCATACTCTTCTGTCATCCATGGGCTCTGTGCGTATGCAGACATACATATAGGCAAACACCCATGCACATAAAATGAAAAGCAAAACAAAACTGTTGCCCTTGGTTGGAGATGGATGTAGCTCAGTTGGTGGAAAGTTATCCTAGAACTCATGGAGCCCGGGTTCTATCCCAGCAGGGCATAAACTGGTCATGGTAGGGCATGCCTGCAGCCTTACCACTTGGGAGATACAGGAGGATCAGAAGTTCAAAGTCATGCTCCGCTACATAGCAAGCTTGAGGCTAGTTTAGACTATGAGACCCTGACCTGTAGAATAGAAACAGAAAAAACAAAAACAAACTTGTTCCTATCACACTCCCACTTACCACAGCCCCCTCCCATGATCCCAAGATCTTTCCCACTGTCCAGAAACTGAAAAGATGATGATGCCTGTGTCCCACAGGGGACTGCCAGCCCAGAGCTAGTGTCTCTTTGGAGCCATAGCTTCCTGTTTCAGGTGCCTGGATGGTGTGGGGTGTCCGTTTTCTGCTCTGTCTTTCTTGAGTCCTTCATTTCTAATCCAGGGGCCCTCCTGAGCCATTCCTTTGCCCCAGTTGGGGGCTTGGACTTCCTTTCCACGTGACTGACTTGATCAGCTTCCTCCCTACCATGGGGTTGGCAGGCAACTCTGATCAGCCCTCTTCTGTGCCTCCTTACCCTCTGCAGGTGTAGACAGCTGTGAGAAGTGGCTCAACTGCAAGAGTGACTTCCTAGCTAAGTACCTGAGCCAAGTGCTCCAGGACCTGCCCAGCTGCCCATGCGCATACCCTCTGGAGGCTGTGTACAGCGCTGTGAGCCTGCCGGATGAACATCAGGGCCGAAGCTTCCGGTGGCGGGATGCCAGTGGCCCCCGTGAACGCCTGGACATCTACCAGCCCACTGCACGCTTCTGCCTTCGCTCCATGCTATCAGACGAGAGCAGCACGCTGGCTGCCCAGCACTGTTGCTATGACGAAGGCAGCCGGCTGCTGACTCGAGGCAAGGGGGCTGGAGCTCCGGACTTAGTCAGCACCGACTTTTCTCCTGAGCTGCACTTCAAAGTAGATACGTTGCCCTGGATCCTGTGTAAGGGGGATTGGAGTCGCTACCACACCGTGCGCCCCCCTAACAATGGGCGGGCCTGTGCAGACAACCCACCAGAGGAAGAGTACCTTGCCCAGCTGCAGGAGGCCAAAGAGTACTGAAAGAGGGACTAGAGGATGGTGCTTCTGCCCTTTACCCCGCCCCTGCTGGGACTGGGCAAGTGTTAGGTTCATCTGAGAGGCCCTCTGGCCTGCATACCCCCACTTGTGACCCTGAGTCAGGAGAGCCCAGGTATCTCAAGGATTGGTGAAAAGGTTGGAGGGTGTGTCAGGGTTAGGGCTGCTGGGTTGTGTTGGGAAGATGTCTGTGTCTGAAGGAGAGGAGCTGTCCCAGTCTGGCCTCGTGCTCCTTCCTCTTTCTTGCAGAACAGGACCCTTCTGCCGCTCCCTCTGCTCAGGATTGAGACAGGACATTACAGATGCACCCAAGTTCCCAGGATCTGCTGTGAATTCCTCAGACCCCCACCCTATGGCCAGTTGAGGAAGAGCACGGGGAGCGGGTAAAGAAGGACAGACTTTCATCTGACCCCACAGCTGCCCTTCGCTGGGCTAGCAGAGCCAAGGTGACCACCCCTTCTCATCAGGGGTCTTGAGAGGACAGCTGAGCTGAGGGGATGTTGATATGAGGCAGGGAACCACCAGCTGTTTCTGGTGAAACAGACGGGAGGAATGTGTAGGCTGCCCCTGCCACGGCAGACAGGTGCTGGATGGGCTCAGAACTGCGGGTGGGCTCAGGAGGGTGTCATGTGCCTGTAGTGGTTGCTAAACCAGGAATGTGACAGGGTAGACATTCCTACTGTTCGGTGTGGGCCATTATGTGGGGTTAGTACCCACACCAGCACCCACTTCAAGTCCCCACATGGCGCCATTGAAGGCCCTGGAACTGGACTTGGAGTCGGGAGATGTGCGCTTCCGCTCCCAGCACACCTGTGCCTCTTCCCAGCCACTTTTTATCCCCCAAGAGAGGAAATGTTGAAGAGTCACTGTTTTGTCTCCATTCACAAATCCTCCAAAAGGGCTTGGAAGGGGGCTTGAGTTGCAGCCCCCTCCACCGCTGTCTGGAGGCTGTTCTGGAATCAACAATAAAGCACTTTATTTTCTCACACTGTTGGCTAAAGAATGAAGGGTGGACCTTATCACATCTCCAAACCAACTCCTATCCCATTTCCTTAAGCAGCTGCCCTTGGGGCTTCCTGAATGCAGGGACTAGACTCTCACCATTCATTATCCCCTTTCTTCCCGTTCACACCCAGAGAGGGCCACCTTCTTCGAAGGGATCCAACCTGAAATGAGAGGTCCTCCTGCACTTTCCCTTAGCCTGTACCCTTAGCAGCAGCACCCCACTGTCTTCCCTGGCGTTTGGGGGTGTATCTTACTCTGGGTCTAAACAGCAGTCTAAATCTGTTCTGGTGCAAATAGAAAATTAATGGGCTGTAACAAAACATCTCAGGTCATGGGGGGGGTGTCAGGTTCACTCCTCCAGTCTATGGCTCTAGCCCTTGGGAGGCTGCGACAGGAAGGTTACATGTGGTTTTTTGTTGTTGTTGTTTTGTTGGTTGTTGTTTTTTTGTTTTTGTTTTTGTTTTTGTTTTGTTTTGTTTTGTTTGGTTGGTTTTTTGAGACACCACCACCTGGTGTTTTTTGTATGTTTTTGTTTCGTTTTGTTTTTTGACACAGGGTTTCTCTGTGTAGCCCTGGTTGTGCTGGAGCTCACTCTGTAGACCAGGCTGGTCTCCAGCTCATAGTGATCCACCTGTCTCTGCCGTGCACCACCACCGCCCAGCTGGGTTTTATGAATTTTAAATTATCTCCCTGTCTATACATCAAAGTAACTTACCAACTGTCTGCCAGCTTGAATGGATTCAGGAGGGAGAGATATTAGCTCTTCATGTTCTAATAAAATTCTCCCCTTGGAGACCAAGGGCAAGTCCACCACGGAGAAGATAGACTTCACTGCTGTTAGTCATTTAAGAGCCTGAAGGGGCTGGCAGGCAGGACGTGTCTGTCTGAGAGGACCCCTCCCGCCTCTGCCCATGGTCCTTCTGCAGGAAAGTGTGGTTAACAGGCCTGGAAGTGCTGGGAGCAGGCTCAGGGGGTGAGGGGGGTGGAGCAGCTCAAAATATAGGTGGCCGGGAGAGCATCTTGAGTTACTTACTGAGACTCAGTTCCGCAACAAAGCAATAGATACTGGGGATGTTGGTCAGTGGTATAGGATCTGCCTAACATGCATGAATCCCTGGATTCAGGCCTTGGTAACAAACACATGACACAGGACTATTTTGTTTCAGACCTGGGTCTTTTCGGCTTGCCCAGGCCAGTCTCTAGCTCCCAAGCTCAAGTGATCCTCTTCTTCACCCTCTGCATAGCAGTGGCTACAGGCATGGTCTGCCACCTTCTGCTTGTTTTAATTGTGTTTTAGCAGAAACTCTTAAAAAAACAAAAAACAAAAAACAAAAAAAACCCACCAAAGTTGTAACATCCCAGCTTCTCTCCGTAGGCACTGTCAGTTACACTCCTTTCTAGTTGAATTTTTATCCTGGCACTTAAACATCATCAAAATCTAATCAATACCCACTGGTTGTCTATTGGGCTTTAAATGCCTTACTAAATCGCTGCCACGTTGAGAGCCCCAGGTGAGAGAAACTAAAGAAATGAGAGGTTGCTGGGAGGCTTGCAGGGGGAGTAGCCAATCAGTTATAAAATAAGTGTTTATTCAAGCTATGCAAAGGAGGAGGAGACCCTGTGCGGGTGGCTACAGGCTTATGGAACACCTGTGCAGGGGGAAAAGCACCAATGGTGGGGTCACTGAACCTCTAAAAGGGATAGTTTAGAAGTGACTAGTGCAGGGCCAGGAGGCCTTGAAATCAGAGAAGGCCCTTCCTCTTTGATTCAGCCTCATGTCCTGCACCTTTCTGTCTCAACCAGCTGGGCAAAAACCCTGTGAATACTGCTACTGTGTAGCCCCAGCTGCTGAGGATGTGCTGGTTCCTCTTCTCTCTCTGGGTTGCTTCATGCAGGCCCCTGGGCTAGGCAGGGCAGATCAAGTGGAAAAAAGCCAGCAGCAGCACAGAAGTAGGTGGTCCAAAGCCTTCCCAAAACTGGGAGCCTCTAGCTTCCTCTATTACAGGTAGATTATTTTTTCATGTTTGAAGTGCTCCTAAAAATGCAACCCTGACACTAGAGTGATCTGAGACACGGAAATGCAAATGTGTGGAGCACACATCTACACTTAGGAAGTAAAAATCTCTATAGTCAAGAGATTCTCCATTCAACAGGTTCCCCCAGGTGACCCTTAGGCATGGAAACCTGTTGTTCTGGGGGTTGCAATTTGAACTAAACCAGTATGTTACAATAGTATCAGTTTTGTTTGTTTGGTTTTTTTGTTTGTTTGGTTTTGTTTTGAGACAGAATTTCATTGTGTACCCCTGGCTGTCCTGGAACACACTGTGTAGACCAGGCAGGCCTCAAACTCACAGAGGTCACATGCCTCTGCCTCCCCAGTGCTTGAATTAAAGGTATGCACCACCACCCAGCTCATAGTAGCCATTTTAATTTAAGGGGAAAACCTGAGGTTGGTTGCAAGTCCAGAAGTCAGTAGACACTAGGTGTTGCCAAATGCATTCTTATTTAGTTTTTAAAGACAGGGTCCCTTCTGTAGCTAGCGCAGGTTAACCTCAGGTACTTATGTAGACCTGAGACCAGTGTGGCCCTGGGTTTGTGGCGACTGATCCTTCTGCCTCTGCCCCGAGAGCTGCAATGATAGGCGTACACTATTGTGCTCCACCTCATACTTTGCATGGAATCACAAGGTACCTGTTAGGCCCATTTTATTGACAGGGACATTTGCCTTGTTGGCTAGGAAGTGGAATATTCATCATTCGAAACAAATCGGTGGTTTTATTTTCACCACGGGCATCTTGGGACCAGAGTCTAACTGAAATGTTAGATACAGCAGTGGCTGGCTGGGGCTATGAAGCTGACACCCAACAGGCACACTGGTGCGTTGGGTTTTTACTAAATCATCTCTTCACATTTTCCTCTACACTGAAACTGAGAGACAGAGGAGGCAGGGCTCTGGTTTTTGGTACTGTATGAAAGGGCTCATTTGCCCGGCAGTGGTGGTACATGCCTTTAATCCCAGCACTCCAGAGGCAAGCAGCTCTCTGTGAGTTCGAGGCCAGCCTGGTCTACAGAGTGAGTTTCAGGACAGGCACCAAAGCTACAGAGAAACCCTGTCTCGAAAAAACAAAAGAGGGGCTAATTGATTAAGGTGCATTCCAAGATCTCTGTCAAGTGTTTTTATGTCCCTTGCAGCTGGACGGAATGCCAAATTAGGTGCAATCCTAGTCTATCATTTATCTGAATAATTTAAGTCAAGATGATCTGATCTTCTGTTTTAACTATAAAATTCTGCCAAGTCATGTAGGATTAGCTTTTGGGCCTTGTCACTGCCTAATGAGATGGGAGATGAGAGGCCTTAATAGAGTGCTGATTCATGCTGGGGTGGGGGTAAACTGAGGCAGGCCTGGCTAGGAGTGACTGCTTGCTCAGTTCACTTTTCCTGCCATGTGGACTCTACTGGAAAGGACTTCTAGCACTTGGCCTGGAGTTCTGTACTCCAAAGAGGTTCTTCCTTTTTCGGGGTGAAACACTAAGAGGTCTGGGACTTTCTACTCCAGGAGAGATACTCACTCAACACACTGGAGATGCAGCTGCTCCTCTGGGGATGAACACGGCAAGGCAGTAGATACAAGGTTAGCACTAGCTCTATGGTTAGTCTGCATTCCAAATGCCAGCCATGTTCAGTACCAGCTGTTGGATTTGGGCTTTTAACCTAAGCAGCCAGAGGCAAAATATATGTTAATATATATTAAAAGGATCACATGGCAGCATGCCTCTGCAATTCCTGCACTCAGGAGTCTGAATTCAAGGCTAGCCTGTGTTATATAGCAAGATTCTGCCTCAAAAACAAAACAAAATTAAAAAAATAAAAGGAAAAATCCGAAGATTTTTATGAAATGGGTGACAGGGCTTAATGGAGATCAGATCGTCAATGAAAGTACACTGGGACACAGTAGCTCTCTACAAAGCCACCACTGTTCATCTTCCTCTCTTTGCAGAGGGGTCAGAGTCCAAGACCCATCTCTACCATCTTGGTACCTACTTCCTACACTTTGTTAGTGCTGTTTATTCCAGAATGTTAGCTCTCCCGTGTGATAGTATGAAAATAAATTAGCTCAAGAATCCTGCTGTCAACAACAGCCATTTTTTGTGCTTTTCAAATTTTTATTCTGTGTATGGGTGTTTTGCCTGTATGCTATCTATGGAAACCACATGTAGAGGCCGGAAATGGGGCATCAGATCCCTTAGAACTGGAGTGGCAGATGGTTCTGAGTTGCCATGTGAGTGCTGGGATTTGAACCCAGGTTCTTTGCAAGAGTACCCAGTATTCTTAATCACTGAGCCATTTCTCCAGCCCAACTTTTTTGAGATAGGGTCTCATATAGCCTATGGCTACCCTATGTAGCCATGGATAACAGACTCCTAATTCTGCTTCTACCTCCTGAGTCCTGGGATTACAGGAGTATACTACAGTGCCCAACTCTCTTTGGAACCTAACTTCAATCCCTTGTATTCGTTCAAATTCAAAACCTTCAAGGAACTCAACACCAGGGTCTCAGTCAACACAGATTATGAGAAATGCATGCTTTTAAAATTGTTTATTTAGCGTATGTACACATAAAAGAGAAATCACCCTCAGATCCCACCCAGCAGAAAACATGCACAAACCCAAGGTATATGTGGAGGGAGGGGCCCCAGCCCCAAGTTAGCAGTTGGGATGGTGCAATCCTGTGAATCACAAGCCCATCATGAGCAGGCTGGACTGAAGTGTCAAACAGGCTGGAACCTCTGCTGCTGGCCCTAAAACAAGCGAGCGCCATAGCCAAAGGTC